TCTCAAAGCAATCTACAGATTCAATGCCATCCCTATTAAAACACCAACATCATACTTTCAAAACTTGGAAAAAATAATTCTGCATTTTGTATGGAACCAGAAAAAATCCCATATAGCTAAGGCACTTCTTAGTAATAAAAACAAAGCCAGGGGCATCAGCATACCAGACTTTAGGCTGTACTCCAAGGCCACAGTGGTCAAAACAGTATGGTACTTCACAAAAAATAGAGACATAGACATTTGGCCTATAGACAGAAAACCAGGAAATGAAACTTACTATCTTACAGCCACCTAATCTTCGATAAACCAAACAAGAACATACACTGGGGGAAAGACCCCCATTCAATAAATGGTGCTGGGAGAACTGGATACCCACATGTAAAAGACTAAAACTGGACCTGCACCTTTCTCCACTCACAAAAATTGATTCAAGATAGATAAAAGACCTAAATTTAAGGCACGAAATGATAAAAATCCTCAAAGAAAGCATAGGAAAAACACTGGAAAATATGGGCCTGCGAAAAACTTTATGAAGAAGACTTCCATGAAAATTGCAGCATCAATAAAAATAAACAAATGGGACTTAAACTGAAAAGCTTCTGTACAGCTAAGGAGACAACAACCAAAGCAAATAGACAACCTACACAATGGGAAAGGATATTTGCATATTTTGAATCAGACAAAAGCTTGATAACTAGCATGTATAGAGAACTCAAATTAATCCTCATGAAAAAAGCCAACAATCACTTATATCAATGAGGAAGAGAGATGAACAGAACCTTCTCTAAAGAAGACAGACAAATGGCTCGCAAACACGAAAAAATGCTCATCATCCCTAATTATTAGAGAAATGCAAATCAAAACCACCCTAAGATATCATCTAACCCCAGCAAGAATGGCCCACATCACAAAATCTCAAAGCTGCAGATGCTGGCATGGATGTAGAGAGAAGGGAACACTTTTACACTGCTGGTGGGACTGCAAACTAATATAACCTTTTTGGAAGGAAGTACGGAGAACCCGCAAAGAACACAAGCTAGACCTCCCACTTGATCCTGTAATCCCATTACTGGGCATCTACCCAGAAGGAAAAAAATCCTTTTACTGTAAGAACACTTGCACTAGACTGTTTATTGCAGCTCAATTTACAATCACCAGAATGTGGAAACAGACTAAACGTCCACCAACCCAGGAATGGATTAACAAGCTTGGTATATGTACACCATGGAATACTATTCAGCCATTAAAAAAGATAGAGACTTTCCATCTTTTGTATTAACCTGGATGGAAGTGGAACACATTATTCTTTTTTTTTTTTATTTGCATGTCATCCTTGCACAGGGCCCATGCTAATCTTCTCTGTATAATCCCAATTTTAGTATATGTGCTGCCGAAGCAAGCACCTTGGTTTTTTTTTCTTTTTTTTGAGACAGAGTCTCACTGTGTTACCCTCAGTAGAGTGCCGTGGTGTCACAGTTCACAGCAACATCTTGGGCTTAAGCGATTCTCTTGCCTCAGCCTCCCAAATAGCTGGGACCACAGGCACCAGCCACAATGCCCAGCTATTTTGTTGTTGTTGTTGTAATTGTCATTGTTGTTTGGCAGGACCAGGCTGGATTCGAATCCGCCAGCCCCAGTTTATGTGGCTGGCGCCCTAGCCACTGAGCTATAGGTCCCTAGCCAGAACACATTATTCTTAGTAAGGCATCACGCTAATAGAGAAGCATAAAGCCTATGTACTCAATGTTGATATGAGGACAGTTAATAATCTAGTACATGGTGGGGGTGGGGGAAGGGGAAAGCAGAGAGAGAGAGAGAAAAGGAGGGAGGGAGTAGGGGAAAGGAAGAACCGAGAGAAGAAAGGAGGGAGGGGGCTGGGAGAAGGGAAGAGCAGGGAGAGGGAAGGCGGGAGGGGG